GTCGTCGTTGTGCGTTGACGTGTCGTCCGTCGTCGTTGTGCGTTGACGTGTCGTCGTCCGTCGTCGTGTGGCCGGCCTCGTCGTCGCTGACGTGTCGTCGTCCGTCGTCGTCGTCGTGTCGTCGTGTCGTCGTCCGTCGTCGTCGTCGTCGTCGTTGTCCGCTGGCGTGGGCGTGATTCGAGGTGACCGCGCTGGTCGCGGCGACGGTGGTGGTGGTTGTGGTTATGGTTGTGGTTGTGGTTGACAGCAAAACAGAGATGCTGATGGTGACGTCGGCAAACGCCGTGACTCGTTTAGGAAGGTGGGCGTGAGGGTGGGTTATATAGAATAAATGTTTGTAGAATTTTAACGGCCGTATGGTGTAGTGGAAATATTGCTGCTTGGACTTCACGTGACATTTCCCGAGCCTAGAGTTCAATCCTTGTGCATCCACTTATTTTTTTATATATTATAATAACAACAACAAATATTGGAATTCATTGGAATCTCTCGGAATCTGTTGGAATTTGACTGGAATATACTTTCCATTGGAATTCCATGGAATCTGGTTGGAATTCCAATGGATTCCAATGGAAACTGTTCCGGGAGGCTCCCGGATTCCGACCATTTCCACCGGATTCCGTCGGATTCCATTGGAATTTCTGTGGAATTGGAAACCAGAATGGCTGAGGCTCCAGCCAACTAGTTTCCGTTGGAATTCCATGGAATTCCGACATTCCACTTGGAATCCGCCGGAATCCGCCGGAACTCATGGGGGATGGTAAAGACCTCCGGCCTATGTTCCGGAGGCCGAGTACCAGAATCATATCGCAAATTATGTTGACAATTCAGAGGTTACTGATTCTACCGTTTATTTTGATAGGTAATACCCAACTGATTTGTGACAGATCAACACTTGTGAATCCCAACACGATGCTCTCATTCGCGCAAGTACTCGGTCAACAGCTGGATACGCTGTGTCGGGTGCCATTCTGGTAATCTGTTCAAGACACTGTTTAATATGCAAGAACGGAGTGGGGGATCTCAAGAAGGGTGAAAAGTAAGTGATGTCAAGAGTCCGTTTTGTTCAAGTTCAATCGCTGACAGCTGCGCCAGGTATTGTTGCGTTGATTTCATTATATTTGCCACATTGATCGGTGTCACCCTCCTCCATGTCATCATTACCTACGACATCATTTGCCAGTGGTCAAAAAACTTCCGAAAACATATGGAGGACTTCCCCGAACGAATGCAAATCCCCAACACGACGCGTGTTGACATGGCCATCCCAGGGTGGCATATAAATGGACACAGTGATTTGTGCTGCATGAACTTCAACCTCAGCTACATGGAGGGTGCTGGAAGGACTGTGGGCGAGGATATTGAGACGACGTGGGCAGGTACAAACCAGTTGGCGCCCAGTGTTCGAGAGATGGGTCCTGCGGCAAGGCACGACACGTTGAATGATCAGTGGAATGGGTGGAATTTCCGGAAGATTGTCGGATTTCGTGCGCCATTTCTTCGCTTCAATCAAAACATGTGCTGACATTGTCTGGATACTAGGATCACTCTTTCTAAAATGTTTCAAAGAGGCTGTCAAAATGAGTACTTACCAGGCTGACATTTTTGATCGGTTTTCGGCAACATTCAGTCCTGCCACTGTTGAGAAGTGGGAAGCTATGGTGACTGCATGGAACGTGAACCCGAAGGCTCGGAATCCGTATCAGGAGCCGCAAAGTGGTGAGATAATATGTTCTTGACGAGCAATGACTTGTATCTTATCTTATTGAAGGGACTACACTACAAGATGTTCGTCTATTGCTAGCAAAGGAGGAATCCGAACAGGTTGCCCTTGGCTGGCTTCCTCAACACAAAATTAGTCTATTGACATTCTTGTTGATTGGCTTTGACTTAGAGGACAGCCAGTGAGTATAATTCAACATTGTTTTTCCGGATCTCAATCTCAATATTTGTAGGTATCTTATCCATCGCGAAGCTACCCAGAAGAAAGGGTTGAGGACAAGCAAGCAGCTTGCCGACCTTCAAGATAAATGGAATGTGTTGAGCTGCCTTATTCAGAATTGGCGCGAAGTCCAGTTTGTCTACATGCCTCATGTAGCTACACTTCTTCTGCAATCACAATCCCCACCTGATGCGCCAGCATCATCAACCCCTGAAATTCTGGCCGAAAACATCCCTCTCTTCTTACCATCATCGTTGCCGCCACATATTCACGGTCTCCCTGAGCTGAAGGCAATCTGTAAGCTTGAGCACCAGTTACGCGAACCACAGGCCGACGATGCCCTTTCGGAGGTCTGACGTCAACGCCGTGTAATCCAGGGCCTCTGGCTCTTCAAAAGGCTTAATGTTTCAGGAACCGGCAATCAGCCAAACACATGAATGCTGTCCCTGTATCTTTGTTTCAATAACAAAACAGACCAAGCTTCTCAAAAATACCACATTGCATGGCAGGCCCTATCAGTTCTTGATCCTAGTGGCTCATGGTCGCAACAGGTAAAGGAGCTCAAACCAAAGGATGTCAGTGGTCCTGGAAGAGATCCGGATGACTCAACGGCGTCAAACAGTCATTATGAACTCTCGTAGATCTGGCTTGTACAACATGCAACACATTTGACCCCATGCCAGTCCGAAATGCATATAGGTGAGGATGAGTTTAATCAGAGTATGCGCGTGGAGTGGGCAAAGGCCAGGGCATGTAAGATGAGATGGAAAGAAGAATTGATGCTTATTCAGGAGGAGATGCGGCGCATCATATCGTTTCACAGGTGGAAGGCTGACTGGTGGCGAGATCGTGCGTCAGTGCGAAGTCACCCAGACCAAGCAGTCTTAAGCAGAATTTCAGGTTATGCAAGTAAGCAGGCAGATATATGTGTGCGCCTGGCTGAGCAGTGTGCTCGTCATTGGCTGCCACCCCTGAAAGCAAGTGGTATTATACCAGCATGGGGGTGTGATTATGAGCATTTGCTTCCAGTAGCTTTGGATGGTAAGGATGAGACATATGGTCATACTCCTTTAGATCAGGATGACATTGGAGTTCTGGAGAATGAAGGTGATGAGATTGAGGAAGTGGAGGAAAGGGAAGTAGACAAAAATGATTACTTTGAATTAGATGACCTATAGAATATTTGGCCGAGGTCAACTACCCAGTAGAGCCTTTGAGAATCAAATGAAGTAGGCAAGCTAAGAAAGAAATATATCCTGAAGGTCAATGAGATATTTCAGTCACACCCAGCCATTGTTTCATTGATTCCCATCCCCATTTCATTCCTACCCAGCTACTATTGCAAATATCTGGGCAGAAAAGAAACAGAAAAGAAATTGGATTGATATAGATCTGAGGTCTTTATTGTCCTCCACTGATTCCTGCCAGAATCTGGCGGAATCCAGGGAATTCCTGGAATTCCGGAGGAATCAAATTTGGCAGAGGGCCCTGCCAAATTGATCAAACAATTCTGCGGAATTTTGAATGGAATTCAAATTCCGCTGGAATGATTCCAGTGATCACCCGGAAGGAATGCTCACGGAACGAGACCGGAACGGAATTCCTGATGCCCAAATCAAACGTCGGCGTTTGCCAACGTTTGATTTGGACATCATCAACAAACAACGCCATCTCTTTCAACCACCACCACCATCACCAACGCCTACACACCACGTCGCCAACGTCCACCACCACGCACACCACGTCGCTAACAGCGACGTGGCAACCAGACGACGAACGACGATTTCGTCGTTCGTCGTCCTAGGTGAGCACCCCCCCCAAACTCGTCCCAACCCAGCTCGCTAACACCA